CATTTGTCTTATGTGACATCATTTGACAGTGGACTCACTGGACATGCGTTCAGTTGTCTAGGAAGAGTTCACTACATTGGTCAGAAATCAATTTCTATTCCTCCCTCCCCCCCCCCTTTGGGCATCCCCTTTTGTATTGATACGTTTTATTTAAATTGCTATGTTCTGTGGTCAGGCATGGGCCCAGTGGGTACTGGCCAGGGCCCCACTTTTCTAAGAGACTCACTCTTATAGATGCATCATTTTTACATATTTTTAATGAATGTTGAAAGATTTTGACAATTTAATTGGATTTAGATTTCCCAATTTTAACCGATATATATCAGTACATTCCAAAATTAATTTATAAATGCGAAACAAAGTTGGACAAGTTTAAATCTTTTAAAGGGGAATAATTCTCGTCAACAAGTGTCAACAAGTTTTACTCTTCCCAGATATGAATCGAACAAAAAATTAAGGTAAGAATAAGCTTCGCGGTACAATTGGACAAAAACTTTTGAACTGGCTTTCACTTATGTGCATCCTTAAGACAATTGACTTTAAACCAATAATAAAATAATTCTGAGCAAAAAAAAAAAAAAAAGAAATATTACGCAAACGATTATATTGATAATGATATATATTAAATACTTTATTCTATCTATCTGTCAAAAATGATAAATTATCATCCACTGTGATTATTTTTAGTTTATTTCTGATAATGTTTTAAAACTATTATTGATTTTGAATAGTTTTGTTTCTTGTATCATTAAATTGAATTCATCGAAGTTTAAATTTATTGAATGTTTATTTTTTATTTTACATTTTTATTCCACTTGGTGAGTTAGTGGTGAGCAAGAACTGTCCCCCCCCCCACACACACACTTTTTGAGCACGGAGCGAGTGTCCCCCTTCTCACGGCTCTGGTATGTTGCGTTGCTAGGAGGGCCCCCAGTGCTCTGCTGTGCCCAGTGCCTCCTATGTTATTAAGACGGCCCTGACTGTGGCACCTCCCGTAATTAAGAACTACAAAAAGCAGGACAAGTTTTTGTTTTGAAACACCCCCCCCCAAACCCACCCCAAAAAACACAAACCCCTCCCCACTGCAATGACGTTACCGTAATTAAGAACTACAAAAAGCAGGACAAGTTTTTGTTTTGAAACACCCCCCCCCAAACCCACCCCAAAAAACACAAACCCCTCCCCCCTGCAATGACGTTTCTGCACCCCCCCCCCTTTTCCTCCACCTAAGGCTTCAAGGGATTATCCGTATATTCCGAACACAATGAGGGGAGGGACGCAATGCCGCGTATCAGTGTCGATACCGGTATTTCACAGCCTTCGGCAAAAGATTGTTAATTTGTATACACATTTGGAGACCCATTGGAAAAGAGAAGAAACACTGGAAGTCTATCATTCTATATAAACTTAAAAACAAAAAAAACTACCCCTTTCCTAGTACACACATTTATTCGAGTACATGTATGGGGTGGTTGTGGGAAGGTCTGAGGTTACACCTTCAGTTAATACATGTAATTGATCGAATTTCTCCACTGTTAGCTCACGCCTCTGAATTTTACTAAATTTAATTATTCTTTTACCTTATTTGAACCGTTTATTGCTTTTGATCTGAGACTGGGAAAAAATCTGGCCACACATCGGCCAAATAGACTATAAACAAAGCGATTGATTGATTTTGTAAATACGTGTTTTAAACCACCGATAATACATGAGAAAATGTTTGGAAAACATATTAAAGTATCCACTGAAGTATATTTACATCAGGTAAATAGGTGTTTTTAATTTAATTCTCTAGAAATAATAAATCTCGCTAAAATTGTGTAATATCAGTATCAGTATCAAATTTGAAGATCAAGTTGACAAAGTCGTGTCAAAGTAAATTAGATCTAAGATTTATATAAAAATATAATCGTTAACAATTATAATTATAAATTATAATTCATATATTATTTATTAATGAAAATTAAAATATTACTAATCAAATGTTTAGTTTAGAGGTTTTAAATGGCTAATCATGGCTGGAATCGGTGAATTATGCATTGCATTTTCACGTCCATCCAATTCATCAGTGAATGACATTCCATTGGTACATCACAGGATCAAGCAAGGTGTCAGTGTCATGTATATCGTGTCATGTGGTTGGGGTATTTAGTTAATTTAGTGAGGTAAAGAATACAATTAAATACTATATGCTATTTGATATAAAGTGATAATCATAGAAGTAGTCAATGACAATGATTTTAAATTTAACTGAGCCATTGATAGCCTAATCCTTAAACTTAAAAAAAAACTGCACATTAAAAGAACCAACAATTTGAGGGGATGCTTCCAAACCCTCCCCCCCCCCCGCCTTTGACTACAATACAGCAAAAATATAAATAACTAAAATAAATTGTCATTTTTATAACATATTTTAAAAAGTAAAGAGTAGACACTACTGAGTAGACATAGTAAATCTTTCAGAAGCCTTTCATCAAATAAAATTAGGGAAATAGTGGAAGCAATGAAATCAACTTAAATTATTGAGAGCTTATTTTATACACAAGATTTTTTTTCATTCATCATGTATAATGATGTTAGTGCTATTTTGCGAAAAACACCTTTTTTGGAACATAGAAACAAAAAATCATTTATTGATAAATTAAAGTAGTTTAAATTTAGATAATAAATTGTTTAAATAAAATTATTTAACAAACAACATTATTATTAAGTAACAATTAGAAAGTAAAGTATTTGTATAAACACTGCCAAGTCAAGAGACAACTTATTTTTTACTGGCATCTGTTATGTTACTGTCTTATTAAGCAATGAATGATGATATTATTGATATGTGCCGAAATGAATCCCTACATTTTAAATTAACAAAAATTTTCTGGTGAGAGGCTTCAATGAGCCGCCTGCCCAGAATCCCTCTCCCCACATTCACTTGAGAGCCTTCAGTGCTTCATCCTCCAAGTCCAATCAAAGTGACTGCAGGGGAATGAAACTAAGATGGGGCAAAAAGCATTCCCCCAGAGAAGGCTTTCTGCCGACACGTTCGCTGTTTTGTTGCGTTTATTTTGCAGGTTTAACCCTACTCTGTTTTACTCATTTTATTTTGTACTAACCTGATTGCAGTCTCTCCCCTTATTACCCCGATATGACAACCAGAATGAGGGAAGGGCATGGAGTTCAGCAAGTTGGAGGGCAGAGCTTGAGCTGGCCCTTGTTGCCATGATTCCTAATTTTGGTAATGATAGAGATGCACTGCCCACTTGAATGTCTGAAAAGCCCCCCCCCCCCTTCTCGGGTGGACAAAAGAGACACCCAATTTCTTGGCGGTTTATTGAATGGACATGGGTAAAATAAAAGATTTGGATGCACAGTTTTAGATCCCAAATGAAAAGTCATTTAAAATTTGAGTCTTTCAAATGTGTATTCTTCCATACTACATTTTTCCTTTCTTTGTAATTGTAGCAAACATCTGAAGTTGATGAAAAGTCTTAAGACTTTGCTTGTGAAGAGCGTCAATGAAAATTTATGTCTCGAAACAGTATGGAAAAACACAAGACTCTACACTTCGATAAACATCAATGCTATAACTGTAAAAAGTGCTTTCTATTTGCGCATGCATTAAAAGAACACACAAGAAACCATTCATGTAACAGTTTAAAGTTTCTGGCAGAATTACCATTGAATAAAGAAGTCAATTTAAAGTCTAGATCAGTTCAGACGTCTGACACTTTGGAGCCACAGTGTGACCAAGTTTTGACTAATGGCGTCAATGCACTAGATAAAAACTGTGTTTTAACTAGGGGTTCTAATAGGAAAAATATCTTTGAAATGTTATCTAGTGTTGTAAATCCTGAAGAAAATTGTTCAGACTTTGAAGATCATATAAGTTTAGAACATCTGAAAAAATGTATCTCCTCACCAAAAACAATAAACAGAGCCCATAATAAGAACCGAGAACATAAAACAGGAACAAAGTCTAGTAAAACAAATCATTCTCCAGATGAACTTCTGGCATACTCTATAAATCAGAATGATATGGTTAAAAATTATAGCAAGTCAACTCAATCTTTGTTAAAATTAAAAGAGAAGCTAACAAAACAGAAAAGTTCACAAATAAAGAAGAAGTTGAAACTCAAAATAATCAAAAGTCAAAAAACCCAATTGCAGAAAAAAAAAGTTAGCAAGAAGGCTGGTCAAGCTTTTATCAATGGAGATACCTTTACAAGTGATAAGAAGAAAAGCTTAACTGAACATGCAGGAGAGCTGGCCCAGCATTGTGAGTCACCTCTAGTCGTTAGAGGCACCATTAAAAGAACTAGGAAAAAACAATATATAAACTCATCATGTAGTAGCAGTAAGGTCTTGGAGAATAATTCACAGATGAGAAATACAATCAGTTCAGACACTGAGTCTGCCACTTCTGATCTAGATTCAGACTATGACAAATCCAATGACAAAATTCCTCCTCAACTCATTTATATTAATGGAAGGACTTATTTTAATGATCAGAATCCATTTGTAAAGAAGAAAATTCCACAGGGCAAGTTGAGTGGTTCTCCCTTCTCTCAAAATAGCGCTGAATTTACAAAAGTTTCAACTAGACCTCAAGCTGAGAAAGCTGGTAAAGCATCACATTTAGATTTCTCTGGTTGTCACCTGTGTAATATCCATTGTGAAGATAAGACAGAATCGCAAACAAACCTGAAACTACTCAAGGAACATGTACCTTATAGTTATATTTGTTTCATTTGTGGCAATTCTTTCCTCTTCAAGGACTCTCTAAAACCTCACATGGAAACTTGCCATCAAATTTGCTCTTCACAAGATAATTTGTCAAAAGAGAATGCCCCACAAATATGTAAGAAACACCAACAGATAATTGAAATTATAGACCTTGCTCTTCGCTCTATGCTTGATCCCTTTCAAAATAAAATTGATGCACTCAATGGAAAGAGAAAAATCCTTGACAGTAACAGGGAGAAGGTAGTCAGATGCAGTCCTGATACATGCATAATAGTTGAAGATGAGGATACAGAACCCCATTGTGATCTTACTGATTTGGAGACCTCATACGTTGACCTTCTAAAGCCTTATATGAGGATTTACAGTGACACTGAGCTGCTTGCACTCTCTACTAATGACTTTTAGACCACAATAATTGTAAAATATCAGGTCATCATTTTCACCTTTTGTCTACTCTAATTGGAGGCAAATCAGGATAAACAATAGGTTTTTAAAATGTTTTTTTTAAAAATACATTTGTTGAAAAAATACATTTATGTTCTTTGAAATAAAGTAATCAATAACATTTGCCCTTCTATTCACCGAACTATAACTTTTGACACTAAAATTAAAAATATAAAGAATCCTAACTTTTTAGAGATCTTAAAAGTTTTATCCAATTTACAAATATTTTTATTAATTTGTTATCACCACCCCACAAAAAAAACGCTAACAATAACATGGAAAAAATGAAGCAGTGACAAGGGAGATTTGTAAAAATGTTGGTTTGCCAGTTTGTAGTTATTTAAAATTTTTAAATTGTTTTTATTTGCTTATTCAAATTATTTAACTTTATTTCTGTATATTATGAAAGCTTTTGTTTCAAGATTAGAAAATTTCATATGATTTGTATTATCAAATGTGCACTAGTTAAATGAAGTATTCACTTGATTGATTATATCAAATTTACTTATAGAATAACATATTTGAACAACTTGCCTAGACACAAAGAATAAATAGCTGTCTTTGATACATTATACTTTTACCTATAAACTATAATATTGAATTGCATGTTAAATTATGCTAAGAAAGATGCATGAAGTACTGGTAACTGTTCATACTTTTTCCAGATGTTCACAGCCAGAATTTTAATTTATTTATATCATAATTTTTACTGGAACTGAGTTTTTAAAAAATCAAAACTAGTTACAGAAAAAAACCTCTTTTATTTCTCATATTTATTTTAGGTATATTTTAGTTAAAAGTTCAGGATTAATTTGTAATATTTTGTCAGTAGTGTTAATAAGAAAACATTTATATTAGAACAATTGTCTTTTGTCTTTTACTTTTAACAGAATAGTCCCTCTTATCATTACAAGCTCACAAATTGTATTCAAACATTCAAAAATTCAAGTTTAAAATGTTGTTTCCCAGTCTCTTGTAAGTTATTATAATTGACTGGCGATGCAATATTTAATAATGTATTTCCATATTCGATGATAACACAAGTCTTGTATTTTCATTATAGCTCAGAGCTAAGGCCTCTATACTTTGCTTGTTTCTTTGATTATTAAAAAAAATGATGTAGATCATTTTTATGACACAAATTTTAATTTTGACATTTTTAAAAATGATATTGGTATATTGCAATGTTGTTATAGAGTTTTTAAGATGTGCTATTTTTCTAAAAATAAATGAAATGTATAATCTCATGATTTCTATTTAGATTTAAACTTGCAGCCTATGAACTGCTCAACAACAGATTGTGAAGTCTGTTTTTTTTATACCAAATGAAATTGTTTTTTTTTTTCTATTTGAGTCCACAATGAAGCATTTAGCATTTTAAATATAAAAGCTCAATTTACAGCTTCCTATTCTAATTCTACCTTAATATTAAAAGATGAGATTGTTAATTGATCTTAATTAATGGAAATGTTTTCTCATTACATTTTACATGCGGTATTCATTTTCAGTACTGGTATGAAAATAACAGCAGACAGTAACATTTCTGATTAAGATAAAAATTTTAAAACAGGGCAATTATATTACAACAACAATTTGATGTTTTTTGGCTGATTTTTAGTTTGTTTTAAAACTAGTTTCAAAGAAACAGAGATGTTTAGACTTTTTATACTTTTATTTGCAAAAAACCTCTTTAAAGTTCCATCTTGTTTGTGTTGTGCTTGTGGCATAACATGGACTGTAGTTGGCAAGGCCGGATTGAGCCTTTCATAGGCTTAGGCACATTATATTTTTTAGGCCATTATTGAGCAAGAAATGTTTTTTGTAGGGTGACAACAGCAAAAGAAATTACATTTTTTATTGAGATTTTTATTTTTTCTTACATACATTAACAGTGTACAACTGTATTTAGAATACATACCGTATTTATCTGAGTATAACACACACTTTTTCTGCCTGAAAATAGGGGTAAATGATGTGTGCGTGTTATACGCTGATATAATGTTAAGATTTTTTCCTGAAATTTCCTTCTTAAAATGAGGTGAGTGTTATACGCCAATAAATACGGTATATAAAATAATCAACACGTACATAAAATTTATAATGGGGCCATTCTGCTCTTCTTCTCTGCAAATATGTCTATCCTTTCAGAAAGTTCATATAACAAAGTAGTTCACATTCACTTGACAATAGAGTAAGGTTGGACATCTTCACTTCCATAGTCCAGTTGTTGATTCTTAGAAATTCTTCATACTTTTCAGCTTTGATAGTGATCTTTCTCCCTCACAATTGACACCAAAGATAGAGAGGTCAATGCATGAAGCTATATTCACATTTGGAAAACTTTTAACTATTTTGTTTTCAGCCTGAAGCTTTAGCATTTTATGGACTGTACCATCTCTGTAAATATTCATGAAAGCAGGACCAATTCATCTACCAAATGATCTCACTAGTACTTTTGAAAGAAGTCTTCTTAATTTTTTTTTATTTATGGGAAAACTTAATTTTTCATTCAAGCCTGAATATGCTTACCTATTCCTCAATTATTTTGTTTGACTTTGGCATAATTGAATGCTTTAATTTTAAAATGCTTTCTTGGTGTCATCACAGCTTCCACTGCAATGCCTTCATCAGCCTACTTCTTTCTGATCCTTTTCCTGCTGTCAGATTGATCATGATCAGATGACACTAAACTTACACTTCCCTTTCATAAACTTCAACCCCGCCCACACATGGATCTCATGCGAATAAGAAATAAGGACGTCATAAACCTGACAACTGTGCATATCTCCATTCCTGATTACCTGTGATGCCTTGCTCACCTTGTTGGTCTTTCGAAGAATATCATTCCAAATAACACACATAATTACAGTATCAAACTTTTTGCAGATGCTTCAACAAACTCTTTGCTTTATGGTCTGCCAAATGGTCGCCGGTTGTTACTGCTACTAACGCCTTTCAGTGTTTGTTGAACTCCACGAATATTTCTGGGCAAGAGCTTTTTGAGCTGGTCACGGGGTGCCTATCATATTGTTTCTGATACATTCTTTACACGGTTCACTTTATTCTTTCATGTTTTCCATCAACTAAGTCCACCTTTGTTGCACAGTGACTGCAAAAGTCCAAAATAACTCACATCTCCTTTGCAACATTCTGTTGCTGTTGAGCCAATGAGATTTAAGGCTATGTGAAGCACAGGGTACTTATTATGCAAACTTTTAAACTTCATGTAAGTGAGCTTGAATGCCTGAATATATACTGGACATATTGCTAGTAATTCTTAGCATTATCATTAAGACTGTGATCTACAACTGAAAGTACTGATTCCTTTTGACTTGATGATCCTCTCCATAACCTCATATAAAGATATGCCACCATGGTGTTCGAGAGTAAAAAACTAATAAACCTTTTCACCACATTTCCATCATGGAGACATTACCGGTTTATCACTGTGAGTGGATCAATATGGGAAATCAGGTGTGGAGTCAATGCTCACACCATAGTACTTTGTTTCCTTGATCTCAGATACAAATTTAGATTCCATCTTTGCTGCCAAAATGCCAATACATTTTTATCAGATGTTGTGCATGACAAATATAACACATTGCCCTTTCCTGGATTGCCATACCGACGACTATGCTCAGCGAGAAATGGATCAAATGTTTGAGAGAAGCTCAGAGCATCCAAGGTAGTTACAATTTCTTGCCAATCCAAATACTTCTGAGTCTCCGTGAATAGCTAAACCTCCCTCGGCCAGAAAGCATAAAACTGTAATTGGCTTGAATACATCAGTCCAATAAATCATTTCTTTCTCTTCCTGACGTAACTGTGTTGCATCAGTTCTCATGGTGTGCTGTCATTCCATTTTTCTAGATATTCTTCTTTTATATTTATGTCCCTTTGAATGTTCATGTCCATTCATTCAAGTAGTTGCATTTTTCCAGTCATTGACGCCACACTGAAATGGAAGTTCAGTGTCAGCAGTGTATGTAGATGTAGCTGGGGAAAAGAGTCTTGCACACACAGCAATACACTTTCAAAGTAGATGAATAATAAATGAGCCAGTCTCTGTTCACTTTTTGTTGATTGCCAGTACCGGTACACTAGTATTTTTTTCAACAGGAATTAAAACATCTGGTGGCTCAGCATGTATTGGCAAAAAGTAGTGGTGGTGATATGGGTCGGGGCTCAAGTGGCAGTGTAGGGGATTTCACAGATGACAACAGAGGCACATCAACTCTGACATTGACATGAATATAATTCAACAATTATCCCTTTATCTGCATAAGTCTGTCTGCTCTTTTCTTCTTCTTCTTCATTCGCTTTGTAGTTCCAGTTTCATGACATTTCCATCAGACATTGTGCTCTGAGTTCTTATATGAAAAAGAAGAATATATTGAAGCATTTTTACCCTTAAAATTTGTTATACCAGTATTATGTTTTGTTTTATTCAAATTGAAATTTATTATTATTTTTAATATTGTCATAAATAAAGATGAATTGATATACAAAGTAAAAATTTAAAGATAATTTTAATAGTCATTTGGATTTGATTTCCCAGTAAGCTTTCTAGGGCTAACATTTTACCAAATAAAATATTCTGACGTTATACAACTTTAGTTGATTATAAACTATACTTAACATTGAAATTGATTTATTTTTGCTTTAAATTTTTAATAGAATAATAGTTAATTATGAGGAAATGGTGTCCAAACTTTACATTTTGACTTGACTTAAATAATAACTTTTATTCTTTGATTAATAATGTCTTTTATGAGAATAATTACTTAAATTAGAAGGGTTGGTGATATGACAAAAACCTTACTAAATTTGGGTCAGATGTCAAATCAACTTTGATACAGTGTACCGGGTATTTAAATAAAATATATAAAAATAAAATAAAAATAACAAAGTCTTCATTATTTATTTTAGAAATCAATCATAAATTCTCTCTCTATATATATATTGTTGTGAAATTTAAAAAGTCCAAGGCTTGACAAGGTAAATATTGGGTACTGTAAAATCCAGAATGTTATGAAAAAATATACTTTGTTGGATTGGGTTTTCGCTGAACAGGGTTTGTCATTTTTCAGAGCTGAAAACGTCACAACGCACTATGTAATGTAATGTTACTATTAGAGTCTAGTG